AGTCCCCTCTGCAGGTGTAGCAGGGGGCCCCATTCATGGACCGGGGGGATTCCTGGTAATCGGAGGGGAAGGGGTCAGGGCTCACCTGGACTCTTCTGCTTCCTGGCCTGGCTCAAGTTCTCCCGAGCTCAGGGCCGGCCCACAACATTTTGGCACCTGAGGCGGGGAGCTCAAATGATGCCCCATCCCCCTAGCTTGGGCCACCACTTGGAGAGGTCTCAGTTCTGCTTTCGTCCTGTTCTGCGCCTCTCACGGCACAGCACGGCTCAGCTACCTACACGTGCACCAGCGCAGACACAATGCTCTACGCTCTGGGTCCTAGTGGCGCCCCCCACAGTCTGGCACCTGAGGCGGCCGCCTGAGTTCACCTCATGGTGAGGCCAGCCCTGCCCCAGCCCCACCCCCTGTGCCCCGCCCTGGTGGGCCCTGTGCCTGGACTCCCCTGACAGAAGCCCCCCATGCTATGCCCTGGGAGACCTCAGCCAGGCCTCCGACAGTTCCTCCCAAAGAACTTTCCTCTTCCAGGATCCTGCTGCCTCTGCTGCGTTCCCAGATCCATTCACGGCCCCAGCTCCGGTCACTCATTAACCCCAGCGCTGATGGCTCATCAGTGGGGCTGAGGGGACAGCAAGAGCCTTTGGGTTGGCTTTTTAAAGGCATGTAGGTGCCCAACTCTCATTGGTTTCAGTGGGTGCTGGGTGCAGAAATAAGCCAGTCCGTGGTGCTTTCGAATGTCAGTGAGATGTAATCTCTTAAGGCTCAGACCCTCAAAGGGCATTAGGTTCCTTTGAAGCCAATGGGAGTTAGGGGTCTGGGCTCCTTTGAGGATCTGGGCTGCACATTGCTTTTGAAAACGGCATGTAGGCTCCTAAATCACTTTGGTGCTTTTGAAAATGGTGCCCTGACCTAGCCAAATGCGAGTGTGCACTGCTTTAAGCACTTGCGTAGCCCTCGTCCAGACTACGGCTCTGACTCTGATATACACTGAGGTCTGTTGCACCGCTCTGGTGGTGTGAGGGGGTTTGAACTGACAGTGATGCCTGGCACCTTCTGCTGGCGCAGCACTTCCTGTGCTCTCTGTCTCTGGTACACAGAGATAATCACTGGCGATTGGAGAGATAAATGCAGCGGCAATGCGATCTTAAAGCCACACGAACCCTCGCTCCAGTTTAACACCCCTCCCCCGGGACAGAGCGCCCCGTGCAGGGACACGTCAGTGAGTCTCTTCTTTGCACGTTCATTCCCAGGCTCGCTCGGGACGATGCACGTGGTGAAATACGTCGTGCCGGCCTGGTCGCGGGCTGGCTCTCACTCCGAGGTAGGTGCACAAGACTCTAGGAACTGGCTGCTCGTAGGCCGTGTCAACCTAACTTCCGTGGGCACGCGGCCGCCGTGGGAACGACAGCGCCAGTGCCTGCTACGCTGTGCTCCTCGGGTGGAGTGCGCGTCCTCAGCCCGCAGCCCGTGTGTTTATGGTACTGCCAGCGCAGGGCATTGTGGGATAGCTCCTGACAGCCAATGGGAGTCAATGTCACGCACAGGGTCCCTGATGGGTGGGGGCAAAGAGGGCAGTTGTCCTGGGTCCTGGCGATTTAAAAGGGCTAGGGGCTCTGGGCCGCCATTACTGTGGGTGGACCCCTGGGCCCTTTAAATTGCCAGTGGAGCCCTGTGTGGAGGAATCAGGTGGCATGAGGGCTGATTGCCATAGCCCCGCCCCTTCCATACTGCCCAGGGCCTGGTGACTTCTGCCACCACCCCGGCAACGCAGTGTCCACACTGACACCGCGTCTGCCTTACAGCCACCGGGACGCTAGGCCAGGGGGGAGGTGGAGTTAGGCCAGCGGGGCAGGACAGATGCACTGACGGGGGCCAAATCGTCAGATCAGTGTAGACTGCCATGCGCTGACCTACCTCTGCAGCGCGGCCCAGGCCTTGGCGCGGCTCAGTGCGCGGTTTGGTACCATGTACAACGCCCCCAGTTAGGGGTGTCACGAGACCGGGACAGGCCTGGGGACACCAGTGCAAAGCAGACTTAGGAGAGCTTATTCTTCGTCCCACGCTGCAGTAAGCACCTTTCCAGCTGCACGGCCCAGCCGCTCTAGGGGGGTTGTGCCACTTTGCACCAGGAGCACACTGGAATAAATTGCCTAGGGGGGTTGTGGCGTCTCCATCGCTGGAGATATTGAAGAGCAGGTTGGACAGACGCCTGTCAGGGATGGGCTAGACAGTCCTGGGTCCTGCCATGAGGGCAGGGGACTGGACTCGATGACTCTCGAGGTCTCTTCCGGTTCTAGTGCTCTGTGATTCTGTGACACCCCCCCCCCCTCAAAGCACTTTTCTTTCTGGTGTAACTGGACCTACACGGGGGCTTTTGCTGGTATTAAAGCAGCATTAACAGTCACCCCCACCCACACGATCGCTCCAGCAAAAGGCTCTAGTGCAGACCTGGCCATCGGCTGGGGGCTGGGCTTTGTCAGACACAGGAAAGTGGGTCAGACTCGCCCCTGGATGTGACGCGGTCTGGAAATGCCGGTGTGCGTAGGCTGCATCTCTGCACATGAGTAAATCTCACCTGTGCTGAGCACTGTGGCATGGAGAGCAGACTAGCCGTGTGTTCAGTCTCAAGGGAACCCCAGCTAGTCCTTTAGCATGAAAGAGAAGTGCGATTTTCCACTTAAGCTACTGGGTTAAGCAGGAAGGAAGGTTAAAAAAAATGTAACCACTTGAACATCATGCGACCTGAGCTAAAATATGCCCTTCTGATACGATCTCCTTTCATGTTTCTGGCGGAAGAGAGGGATCCTAGCTTAGATAAAACACGATAAATATCTGAGGTGCGCCTTAGAGAAACAAGAGCCTCAGAGTGGAAGCTGAGTTAGTCTGTAACAGGCAAAACTGAAAAAACAACACAGTCTGGTAGCACCTTAAAGACTCACCAGACATGTAGATGGCCAGTCATCTGAAGAAGTGGGCTGTGCCCTCCAAAGCTCCTGAGCCCATCTGTCTGTTTGGTGAGTCTCGAAGGTGCTACTAGACTATGTGCTGTTTGTTCTTAGAGAAACAGAAAGCCGAGGTGCAGTGGCACGTATGTTAGTGCAATTGTGACACTGACAGGAGGAACCAAACCTGGGAGCCTCTACCCCTTGAGCTAAAAAGCCAGCTGCCACTCGGCTGAGGGTGAAGAGGAAACTCTTGAATGGGGAGGGATAGCTCAGTGGCTTCAGCATTGGCCTGCTAAACCCAGGGTTGTGAGTTCAATCCTTGCAGTGGCCATTTAGGGATTTGGTCTCACTGACCTCTCAAGGTCTATGAGATAGGTATATCTCCATATATATCTTTATTTCTCTCTGTAAGTGATCTCAGGGCCACTCAGCAGGATGGTGGCCCAGCCTCAGGGCTAACCAGCACAACAGCATTTCACACCCACTTTGCACAGTGAGAATGACTCTCAGCACAAAGTGCTGGGCAATAGCTGAGCATCCTAGGGGTTGTAGTCTGGATGCTTCATGCCACCATTGTCCTCTACAGTCCAGGTGCCTGGTTGGACTACATCTCCCATGATGCCTGGCTCCTTCTCTTTTTCACAGGGGAGCAGGAATCCCTGGGTAGGTGCACCATGGGAGATGCAGTCCAGACAGCGATGAGGAGTCCTGTGGCACCTTATAGACTAACTGAAGTGTAGGAGCAGCCTGGCTCCTTCTCTTTTTCACAGGGGAGCAGGTATTGTATAGGAATCCCTGGGCAGGTGCACCATGGGAGATGCAGTCCAGACAGAGAGCTCAGGTCATAGAGAAAAATGAGCACATAAGTCATGTGGAACTACAACTCCCATGAGGCACTGTGGTGCCATTTTAAACGGCATAGTTCTACTTTTGACTTAAATATCTTTCATCATTTTGACAAATATTGACATTTTCTGCCAAAAGCAGACACATTTCATAGCAAAAGCTGTGTTGTTAGAAACCCCAATTTTCTGTCAAAATGGAAAATGGGATGGAACGTTTTTGGTTTCATAGCAAAAGTTGTGTTGGGTTAGAAACCCCAATTTTCTGTCAAAATGGAAAATGGGATGGAACGTTTTTGACCTGACCTGTCCGTGAGCCTTTCATGGCTTGGGGCACTTGAAGGGGGGTGCTGACGAATGCTTAGACACAAGAACTGCAATTATTCTGAGCTGTCCTTTTCTGCGTCTCACTCTGCGAACGGAGTCCGCCAGGCTGACGTGGCCGAGCTTGCGTGTCTTCTGCCCTAACGCCCCTTTGCAATCGTTTCTCCGAGCAGACAGGGAGGGCCGCTCCCCGCTGAAGGAGGACAAGGAAACCTGCACAATTTACTCTCAAGTCCAGAGGGTGGAGGTGAGTTTGGGCACTTGCTCTTTGCGTGCGAAGGAGCCAGGGTGCAACCCCTCTGCCTACCCCACCCCCGTGCCCACCTGGAGGGCCATGGCCTTCAGTTACAAGGTTAACGTCTTGTCTGCAGGGTGGGTGAATTTCCCCCCCGGGATAGAGCCACGTCTCATGCCCAGCTTCACTTCGCTGTGAGTCGTGTACAAAGGGGAATTCACCCTCTTCTGGGACTGGCTCTAAGCTGCATTAGCTGCACTCAGAAAACCCACCACGTCCCACTAGCCCCGTCCTGCTCCCTCGTCTGCGCCTGAGTCGCGAGTCATTGAGCCTTCCCATTTCACCATCCCAAGGAGGGTTACGCCCGTCTGCTGCGCAGGGCGGACGCAGCGATGCGGGGGGGAGCAGATCCCATTCTGCCTTGCACAGGCTCCAACGCATGGCCTGGCCCCAGCTGACTTCGCACTGGTGCAGAGTCAGAGGAACCTCTCTGGGATCTGGGCGTGGGGGCCCCGTGTTCCCAAACCCAGCCCTGAGCACCCAGGATGCATTGTACACCTGGGCTTCCATCTGCTGCCCTCCTCCAGCAGGGCAGCCCTCAGGCTGCTGGGGCCCCGGCAGTGCTTTGAACTGGTGCCCTGTGCCCACAGCAGCCGGCGGGAGGGGGAGAAGGGATTTTTTAGGGAGGTGGTTTTATAATCCTCAGCAGCGCACTGACGGGAGATTTTCAAAAGACACTGTAAGCTCAGGTCCTGTCGCCTGACACAGACAGCTCAGAAACCGGCAGTCGGTACCTGGGGTTGGCAAATGGCTGAAAAGAGGCAGGGCAGAGGTGGGGATTTGGGGGGGGGAGGCAGAGAAGGGGCAGGAAGAAGCGGAGGGGTGGGAGT